TTTTTTTTTTATATATACATGTATATACAGTGACGAGCAAAACTGTAACATGGTTTAACACTTTTTGTTTCAGCCACCGCTATATTTCCAAGTTCTAACGACTTTCATCCTTTTGTTGAATATTCTTGTTGGTACATCCCTATTCCCTCTCTCATAACGATTTGAGGTCAATACAACAACAATAAAAAACCAGCTGACAAAAATGTAAATTAAGGCAGACGTTACAGTTTTACACTCACTCTCAGTTTTGCATTTGACAGTTATCTTTTACTTAGTTGGAAGTCAGATGACTTTTTTCTATATTGTAATTAATTGAAGAAGTGATCACCAGTAAATAACATAGTTAATCAGGAACCATAAATGTAAATAATAGATTTACTGCGGAAAGGCGGAACCGCACGAAAAGTGGCAAAAAAATTTGGTATTTTCTACTAGAAAATGTTAAGACTTAGAAAAAATATAGCCTAAAGTGTTCCCAAGGACAAAGGAAGTCTGTTAAAAAATATAAAAAATATAGTTTTAAATATAGTTTTTGGTGGGTTTCATGTCCACTAACAGCAGAGTGAAAAATTTTTCTATATTCTGAAAGAAATAGCATGAAATGTTAACTACTCTTGCAAAAGTCGCTATAGTACTTATTTATACACTTTCAAATGTCTCCTCTTCGTATGAACTTAGAAAACTGCAAGAAAAGGTGGTAGTTTCGGTGCCTAGTGGAAGAGGTCGCAAAAATGAAGCAAAACAATCTTCCTAGAGCAGATAACGTGAAAAGCTAAAAAAAGCTAGCTATGTAAAAGTTACTGTTTCAAAGCTTGCAATTATAAATTTTTAAATATAAAATTTGCAAATCTACCATACTGCAATTTTATTTTTTATTTTTTAATGGTATTAGGCTCTTATTTATCCAAATTTTCAGGTAATAAAAAAAGATACAGTTCGGATGTTACTTGTTGTCGTAGACGTTTTTTTTTTGTTTATGGTTTACTTTTATAAAATCACATAACGCTGTTTGCAAGTGGACTACTCATATATTCATTAAAAGATAATTTGTTATCCGTCTGTAATAAAAAAAGTTTTAAATCAGAAGGATAAAATAGAATTGTGTTATTAATTCAAAAGTAAATAATTGTAGTTCAATGACGAAGGGGGGGATCTATCCCTCCACACCTCCCCCCCTGACTACGCCACTGTAGCGCATAATGATTCTACGCGTAATTCTAAGCAAATTTACCAAGAAACCATGGGTCTAAAATCAATTTGGAGTTTGCCTAATATCGAAAAAAAGGTGTCTTAGCATTTTGCTGTAGTCCCGTAAAGAAGTGCTTAAATTTTTTATAAAAACATGCTTTAAGGGGTTTTTTGGTATGAGGAATCCATTTCCGGACTTATCTTTTTCTTAAAACAGTGAACATATTCACATTATCTTTACAACCTCTTTCCGCAATTTGGCAAATTCCAAATTGATTTTAGATCCGTGGTTCATTCGGCAAATTTGCTTAGAATTGCCCGTAGAATCCTCCTATGTTATACGCGCATAGTCAAAATAATTAACCCGTCCAAATGTGCATACTTACATACATTCAAATGTATGCGCATATCGATGGTCCTCAACACAACGGCACAACAGTTTTTGATTTATGCCAATATTCACGATAAATATGAGACAGTGGTAAGGGTTGGCCACTTCGATGGCGAGAAAGATGGCACAATAGCACTCCTATCGGATTGGTAACAAGCAAGCATATGTCGATTTTTTACAGACAAATATGGCTATTTGTCAAACTAATCCGCTATATATTCCACAAATTTAAAACTGTGAGTTGTGTCTTTATTGCAGAGGACCATTGATATGTACGTATACATGCATAGATATGTATACTTTTGTGGTATGATAAATTTTAACTCACTATTTTAAATCTTCTCTTTCCAGTTTTAACAATCATTTTTATATACATGAAAGTATATAAATAAACTTTTGTGGTAAATATGTTAACTTTTTACTTACTATTTTAAAACTTCTCTTTCCAGTTTAAATAATCATCTTTATTTTACTACATACATATTATTTGTTGTAGCCAATAACGTAGGGGTTCTGATCTTGTTTTCATCATATGAATTCTTATGTTATAAATATCTAATTTGATTTCTAAATCATTAGCATGCGTGTGCGTACATATGTACATATATGCCATATTAAAAAGCGTAAGTAAAAAACAAAGCAACAACAAACCAAAATCAAACGCGTCACACAACACCAACAGTTCAAATAAATTAGGAAACGATACCGATAAAGAGAACCAAAATCAACAAAACAAGAATCTTTTTGCTAAAATTCTAATGCAGACAGGTATGTATGTATGTATTTGCGTGGTTTAAGAACTTTTTATGGGAGTCGTTTCGCCAAGCCGGTTAGATTACTTCTTTAGAAATACCCTCATTGCTCAACTCGCTTGGCATGTTGCTCATCACTACTATTGTGACAAATATTGCTAACATAAGAGCATTTTCGATGGAGGCGACGACAAGGGAAGACCATTAACATACGACATCTAAATCCTTGTTCGACGGTGAGTTCTTTCCGATATAAATAATTTCTCCGCTTGAAAAGTTTTCACAGTCTTTTGTCTACATTCATCGTGTGGACTAGAATTAGACAAACAACAATGGTTAGTTATAATACTAAAGTGATTTATTAGTGACCGTTTCTTTTTAATAATTAACATATATATTAACTTATTTATTTTATTGCAGAGACTTTTTTTAGCTTTGGCATTGGTAGCGGCTGTCACAGCTGATGTGTCGCACATTTTCTCGCACAGTGATAACCTGCAGGATGATGGATATCATTATCATAAGCCAAGTGGTGGAGCAGTAGTAGATATCCCGGGATCGCAAAAACAAGCAGCCTCGGATTCATATCCATCATACGCAGCCTCTTCACAACAAAACGCTGCAAACTATCCAAGTGGTTCATTCTATGGCTCTGCGTCAGCCCCTTCTGCCTCTTTTTCGGCAGGCACATATGGTGGTTCCTCTTACCAGGCAGCTTCATCTCCAGTCGCTTCTTACTCAGGTGGTTCATCAGATCATGGATTATCTCACCATACAGCCTC